CTACTATGTGCCAGCCACCTAACTATGAAAGGCAGTGTTCTCAGCAAGGATTAGCCAGTCTGTATAGGAAAAGCTAAGTGATTTTGGAAAGATAGTTGTGCTATACAGTGCTCTACCATACCCCACAGTGCTGTACTGTGCTACTGTGACTTTGTGGGCTATATATTACTGTGTACCTGTGTTCACAGTGCATATACCTCATATACCTAACAGTCCTTTCTATGACTACTTTCATTTGTTGTTTATCTGCTTCCCCCTCCCCCATGTTTTTTTATACGGTAAACTTATTTTATTTCCTGTTTTAGTGTTTTAGGGATGTTGCAGGGAATATTTATTTCATGTTGTAATTATATTTTTCTGGGGATTTTTTTATTTATTTCAGCAGCATGAAACTGTGACTGACACAGACTGCTATTCTTTGTTTGCACTACATCCTTTTACCCAATCCAAACTACCTAAAAAGGGGCCCTGTATAAAATTATAATGAATCAGATTGGGGTGCTGCTGCTTTATTTAAACCAATCAATATTTTAACAGCTAAAAGAAAAAAAAATTACTCAAGAAAAACATGCAGAATTATGCAGAGCAAAAGATGCCAGAATACAGCGTTGCTGATGCTGTCTGAGAGAATCATACTGTTCCATTAAATTTCATACAGCTGAAAAGTATCTCCAAAGCATGTAATTTAAATATTTTGTGTTTTCCCATTTCTCTTCAAAGTCATTTTAATAGGCCCTGTGTGGTATAAAAAAAAAATGCATTGTACATGTCCTCCTTGGCAGTGCCCAGTTCCTCATATCCTTTATTGACAATCCCTTGCATATTAGTTCTGAAAATGGCCAGAAAGGTATTATTAGACTTCACGATGAGTCTGACAAATACCACCTAACCAAGACACAGCTGCTCATTCTTAGTGTCTGGCAGTTCTTGGTTAATTTCTCTAATGTCTGACACAGGTCACCCTTGCTGCAGTATTCAGCTTGTAATTTTCGACAAAATGTCAGTGTTGCAGTCTGAGCACAGGAGTAGGCAAAGGAAATGCCTGCAGCAGAGTCAAACGCAAAACGACTTTGCACTGTGCAAGTGTAGCTGCACTGGTTTTACCCAGAGCTTAGTGAATGTGGTGAAGCTCTGCTGATTTCCATCATTCAATCATGTACAAGAAACAAAAAATCAAAGTCTGACAAGTAATTTCATCCAACTCCTGCTGAATCAGCTGAAATCAGTTTCTACATCCAATGTTTAGTGTGGATGGAGGCAGGGATTTTTTTCAGCTGGAATGTGGCAGAAGTTATTTTGGAAATCAGTTTGGCCATCTCCAGCAGCCCTGTCCTCTCCAACCTGTCACTTAATACAGAAGACGATAGAGGAAGTTTTCTGCAGTATTCACATTCATTGGGAATAAGCTGTGGATGGAGTTGCAGAGATAAGTTGTGGTTGGGGGTGTAAGCTGTGAAAGGAGGAGTGCAAAGGTGAGTTGTGGATGGAGGGTGCTAAAGTCAACTGTAGACGGGGTACAGAGATGAGCTGTGGACGGGGGGGGGGGGGGGGGGAAGCTGAGATGATCTGTGGGCAGGGGAAGAAGAGGTGATTTGTGGACGGGGGCATTAGAGGGGAGCTGTGGATGGGGTTGCATAGGTAAGCTGTGGATAAGAGTTGCATAAGTGAGCTGTGGTGGCGTGTGCAGAGTTTAGCTGTGAATGAGAGGCAGAGAGTTAAGCTCTGAATGGGTAGCTCAGAGGTAAGCAAAGAGGTATGCAGTGGAGATCAATCTATTATTACTGTGGGGGGATACCTAAGAGAAGGGGAATTTTTGCTTGGGAGGGACAAGAAAAATTTGATGGGGAGCAGCGAAGCTCTCTGTTAGCTTTCTGTCCATATTTTATGTGCATATAACCCCCACAGTTATGATTTTCTGGTGTTGCAGGGGTTAATAGAGCCAGGAGACCTGTCCCTTGGGGAAGAGGACTTCAAATTTCAGCAGAAACAGCAGCCACCAGCTGGTTTGCATTGAATGTAAGTACTGTCCCTTGTGCAATTATGTTTCTACGCCCAGTGTGTTATGCACTCCTGAGTCCTGTACTCTGTGTGTTACACATTCCTTAATCTTTCTGAGCCTTGACCACACCCATTATGTGGCCCCATTTTTACTTCTCTTCCCCAAGGAAGGCAGAGTTAAGGACGGGGAATTGGCTGGGGGAGGGCAAGTTCCTGCACCTATTCTCTGAGAAAAAAATCCCCAGAAGGAGGAATAATTTATATTTCTCTCCTTCAGCTAAACTAAACTAAATCATACATTCTTACACAAACCAAAATTCTGTTTTTTTATTTAGATATCCATTCATATGGCAGGCCTTTTCAAAGTAAACCTAGCCTTACAGTACTTATTAAACTAAGTGAGAATTTTCTATCCCTTTAAAAAATAACCCTCATTGTCTATTTCTAATATATAATATATACTGTATATTAGTATGCATGTAACATCATTTAATGTATCCTGCTTTACATTGTGGAAAAAGTGCCTTAGAGACTTAATTCTTCACAAGTCTTTGCTAATGCCCTTATTATCAAAAGACATTATTTATCCATCACTGCTATTAGTTTAGATGTTCTTTAAAAAAAAAAACTAATTATTGAGCCATCATTAGCTGAAATTAATCAGTATTCTCTGCAGGATATGATAATGATTTTCACAAGACAGGAAGAAGAAAGGTAAAGTAAAATACATAAAAAAACATTTTAGCTTTGGATTCATTTTCATTTCCACTTATTATTGTCAAGAAAAATATCTGAATAGCAGTAATGTTTTCATTATATGGCATTCAAGGGGAATTCATTATTTTCTTCAGCAGTTTCATGAATATAGCATCAACCACTAGTTAACTTTACACATAATGTTCATAGAGATTGTCACTTTGTTTTATCCAATACATTTTCACCAAATTCTCAAAATAGTGGTGAGAATGAGAACTGGGAAAAGGACAGTGAATGTGCTTATTATCTGTGAAGAACAATTACAATACAGAATTCAAAAAATCTACAAACTCTGGTGAGATAATAGCTAAAGCTATCTGAACTGATAGCCAAATTTTTTGTGCACTCTCTTTTAAAGGTAACTGAGTAAAAAAGTTGTTGAGGTGCTAAACGCTCTTTAATTTCCTAACTCACCAAACTATATACTGGTATGTAACTGCTAGGAGAAATTCATTTTGAGAATGAAATACACTGCTCAGAAAAATTAAAGGAACACTTTGAAAACACATCAGATCTCCATAGGGAAAACTATCATGCTGGATATCTATGCTGATATGGACTGGGTAATGTGTTAGGAACGTAAGGATGCCCCATTGTTTGATGGAAATGAAAATTATAAACCTACAGAGTACTGAACTCAAAGAGACCCCAAAATTCAAAGTGAAAAAATGATGCAGCAGGCTAGTCCATTTCAACTCAAAATGGTACTCAGCAGTTTGTATGGCTCCACACATGCATGCATGCATGCCTGACAATGTTGGGACATGCTCCTAATGAAATGACGGATGGTGTCCAGGGGAGTTTCCTCCCAGATCTGGACCAGGGCACCACTAAGCTTCTGGACAGTCTGAAGTGCAACCTGGCTGCATCAGATGGACTGAAACTTGATATCCCAGAGGTGTTCTATTGGATTTCAGTCAGCTGGTATCAATTCCTTCATCCTCCAGGAACTGTCTGCATACTCTTGCCACATGAGGTCGGGCAATGTCGTACACCAGGAGGAACCCAGGACCCACTGCACCAGTATAGGGTCTGATAATGGGTCCAAGGAATTCATCCTGATACCTAATGGCAGTCACGGTGTCATTGTCTAGCCTGTAGAGGTCAGTGCATCCCTCCATGGACATGCCTCCCCAGACCATCACTGACCCACCACTGTGCTGAACAATGTTACAGGAAGCATAACGTTCTCCAAGGCTTCTCCAGACCCTTTCACGTCAAGCCAGCCCTATGTTGCCAGGAAGTGAGCACAGAGCTCACTAGAGAACGTTGAGTCCTCAGGCTACCCTCATGAGTGGTCATTTTGTAGGGCTCTGGCAGTGCTCATCCTACTCCTCCTTGCACAAAAGAGCAGATACCGGTCCTGCTGATGGGTTAAGGACCTTCTACGGCCCTGTCCAGCTCTCCTAGAGTAACCGCCTGTCTCCTGAAATATCCTCCATGCTGTTGGGAATGTGCTGGACGACACAGAAAACCTACTGGCAATGGCATGTTTTGATGTGCCATCCTGGTGGTATTGGACTTCCTGTGCAACCTCTGTAGGGTCCAGGTATCACCTCATGCTACCAGTAGTGACACTGACCCTAGCCAAATGCAAAACTAGTGAAAAACAGTCAGAAAAAGATGAGTAGGGAAAAAAATGTCAGTGGCCTCCACCTGTAAAATCATTCCTGTTTTGGTGGTCATCTCATTGTTTTCCACCCAGTGCACCTGTTGTTAATTTCATTAACAAAGCAGCTGAAACTGATTAGCAACCCCCTCTGCTACTTAACTGACCAGATCAATATCCCAGGAGTTTAACTTGCCCAAATGTCACCATTTTATTTTAACATTCCTTTAACATCCCAAACTACTATGTTTAACTAGTAGCCGACCGCAGATAGCCGAATGACGGCTGCACTGCGGCCGGCCAGTTCTGGGTGGACGTCATATGACGTCCTCCCAGAACGCGCTCTCCTGCGCACCCCAGGGGGCGCGCACCCGGCGATCTCCGTGAACGCTGTGTCCTACGGACACAGCTGATCATGTGATGTGGTAAAAGGCCAATCACAGCGGCCTTTTACCACGTGATCAGCGGTGTCCAATGACACGCTGATCAGAGGGAAATGAAAGTGCCGGTTCTCGGCTGCACTTTCCTCACGCTGTCAGATCGTGAGGAAAGTACTGCCGAGAACCGGCAGTTGTCAGAGCGGGGATCGGCACCGATCATCAGGGCACTGATGATCAGTGCCCTGATGATCGGTGCCCAGCAGTGCCACCCGCAAGTTCCGCCCACCTGTGCCCAGCAGTGCGCCCACTAGCTCCGCCCACCTGTGCCCAGCAGTGCACCCACCTGTGCCCAGCAGTGCACCCACCTGTGCCACTCTGCAGTGCCACCTACCTGTGCCCAGAAGTGCCACCTACCTGTGCCCAGCAGTGCCACCCACCTGTGCCCACCCACCTGTGCCCACCAGTGCTTCCCACCTGTGCCCACCCACCAGTGCTGCCCACCAGTGCCACCCACCAGTGCAGCCCAGCAGTGCTGCCAGTCAGTGCCACCAGTCAGTGCCCAGGGGTTGTGCCAGTCAGTGCCGCCAGTCAGTGCCCAGCAGTGATGCCAGTCAGTGCTGTCTATCAGTACCCATCATCAGTGTCACCTATCAGTGCCGCCTATCAGTGCTGCATATTAGTGCCGCCTATCCGTGACACCTCATTAGTGCTGTCTATCAGTGCCGCCTATTCGTGCCACCTCATTTAGTACTGCCTATCAGTGCCCTTTAGTGCTGCCTATCAGTGCCCATCAATGCCGCCTATCAGTGCCCATCAGTGCTGCCTCATCAACGCACATCAGTGAAGGAGAAAAAATACCTGTTTGAAAAATTTTATAATAGAAACAAAGAAACTTTTTTTTTTTTTTCAAATTTTTTACAATTTTTTTATTTTTAGCGAAAAAAGTAAAGCGCCCAGTGGCAATTAAATACCACCAAAAGAAATCTCTATTTGTGAGAAAAAAATTATCAAAATTTCATATGGGTACAATGTTGCATGACCGCGCAATTGTCAATCAAAGTGCGGCAGCGCTGAAAGCTGAAAATTGGCCTGGAAAATAAGGGGGTATAAGTGCCTGGTAGGCAAGTGGTTAAGGTTTTATTATTTTGAGACAATGCGGGCAAATTGTATCTATTTTGAGACATTAGGGGAATTGTTTTTCCTCCCATTTGATGGCTAGTGAATAAAGAACCATACTCCCAAATCTTTAAAAAATGTAAAAGACCCTGAAATCACCATATCTTTACAAGCTTTTGTTAGGCAGTCAGCCAGTGGGCCAGAAGTATTGAAAATTGAACTAGAAGAAAATCAGTGCTATGGATCTTCATATTAGATTGGAGTAGCATAAATTTAGATGTAATATCTCTAACACTCCACAGAAAAATCACTACTGGTTTTAACGTTCCTTTCCTTACTGTTCTTAATATTTAGAAAACTGTACATGCTTTAAGGTAAACTATCTTTTAAATGCATTTATTTACCTAAAATAAAAGCAGAAAAGAAGCCATGCTAAAGTATTCTAAACGTCTTAAAATTGTGAAAGGGTTTCTCAAGCCTCAACAATCATCAAGCTTTTCTGACCTGACTTGGCACCTATTGGGATTAATCTAGATAGCACATAGCTGCATTTTCTAGGACATCCAGGAGATTTAATCTTGTATCCAATGAAAACTTCAGTAATTGATTTAAAAGAAGTTGTCACCCTTATATGTACTTGTAAAGTTCCACCAGTCAATTGCTCTAATGTTTTCCCCTAGAGTTGACCTAAGAGCTCTGTACAAGTCTTTTTACTGAGTATTCTTGAAGCAGAATGATCATAGAAAGCATATAATCCCAACAATGAAATGTCTATTTTATAATATACCTCCTACAGATTTTACTCTGTCTGCCTAAAGATACCTTCCATTCCTCTTTATAAAAATCACTCATATATGGTCAGATTGAAATTCACACCTTCTTCCTAATGCCTGGTACATGCATTAAGTTTTTAATTGTTCAACCAAGCAGGCTGAACAAAAAAAAAAAAAAAACCTGAGAGATAGCTGTATTAAACAAGTGATGTTAGTACAGTGATCCCTCCCTCTGTGCTATTGTGTTCTGACAGGGAGACTTCCCCCCCCACCACCAGACCACAATAATGAGCATTCGCAGCCACTGGCTGTGAGAGTTGATTCTTAGACCGACTTCTGTCAGAAGAACAGCTGTACACATGGTCCGATTGATGTTCAGACCATGTATACCCAGATTTAACCATAGTTTTGTTCCTACTTCTCCAAATTAACAATCCCTCTTCTTTCAAACATGCCTTTCACCCCCCTCTAAACCATTGTGATTTATCCATCTTATCTCTTTTATTTCTCTCTCTCTCTCTCTCTCTCTCTCTCTCTCTCTCTCTCTCTCTCTCTCTCTCTCTCTCTCTCTCGGTGCATGGAGCAAACAGCCCAATTAGCACATGGAAGCATTGCCAATAAACTAAGTGTTGCTTTAGAACACATGGCTTTTAGTGTCACATTGTTTCACTTGTTTTTCCATGTTTACATCAAAATAGGGCTTTAGGATACACTGAAGAAAAAGTGGAAATTAAAAGGAACCAACATTGCAATCAGTGGGAGGTAATAATAATCCAAATGTGGGTGTCAAAGGAATAAAATATATTCAATGGTTGGTTTCAGTGTGAGTAAAATAAGCTCCCTGGTTGGGATGAGTGGGAAGAAAATAAGTCAGAGGAACATGGAAAATGGGATGAAATATATCCAGATAGAGAATGTACAGCACAGCCTTCAGAATGAAGCAATATGGAATGGGAATTTCAGAGTGTTGTATACAGAATGAGTTAGCATGTCTGCTGAATACAAGGTCTCAGACACAGCACAACACAAGCACTTTCATGCTCCCATTGAATGGGCTATAATTGCATCTCAATGCACAGAAAATGTAGAGTGCCATATATTTTTTTTTAATCTGATATCCTGTCAAACTCATGACTTAACTGCACATGAAGAAACAGGCTTGCCAAGTTGCGAGTGCAGCCACCTTGTGTTACAGTATGTCTCTAGTTCCTGTATGCAGAGGATGCTTGAATAGATGGAGTTATCAAAGGGCTTTTATTCAGTGTGGGCAGCCTGCTATAGTGCTACCTTACCCTATTTATGGGACTTTCATGGTCCACAGCATCTGAGGTCGGACAAGCAGCTGCAGGGAGAGCAGAAGCAATCCAAAGTTACTTCTATAGTTTATTTTTAGTTTGTTGTTCATTCTTGGGCCACTGTTTGTCAGCAGATGCATCCTGATATACTGTATAAGAGTCTACCCATGAATTTACTCCATGTTTTGAATCATGCAGGACAGCACACAGGACAGAGACACTGCAGAGCTGTGTCAAAAATCCCAGAACTGTTTCACAAGATCTGGGACACTTGCACTTGGCAACTATGTCCTCACAATATTTATTGTGTACCCATCATTGTGTGCCCATCATATATAGCACTATGTATACACTGAATTTTCTAAGAGGTATGGTTGTCTTTGGAAGCCATGTGCTTGCATCTGAATGTATGCTGACTAAGGGGCATGTCTGAATTAAAATGTGATTTTGCTAATGTTTTTGGGTTTACCTAGATGCTGTTAATACATGTATGCCATGTTGGAACATAACCATGTTAAGTGTGTAGTACTATCTTTAAAGATGGTTGTAAAAGAAAAAAAAAGATGGTTGTAAAAATCCTAATTTGCACAAAGCGTTAGGGAACTGCACATACAAGAGAGTATTGTACTGTGCATGTTTGTTCACTAGCATACTATGAAGTTTGAATTTCAGACGGCACTATAGTAGTGGCTTACAGGCAATAATGCCTGTTAAATGCCTGTCTTTTTTGGGGAGGGGGGGGGGGGGTAGGGGGGTGTTAAATCGATTTTAAAGCTATTTTATTTTATATTTTATAATATCCAATAAAATACAGTACAATATTCAAATTCCTTCATGTAAGAAACAGCGATGTACCAAGCCAGGAGTACAGTAATTCTCCAAGTTTGAGAAAAAATGTTTGTTAAAAAACAGAAATGCCTGAAGCCCCTTAAGACAGTTGTATGCAGGGCTGGGACAAGGGGTCAGGAGGATCACTGTTTCATAATGTGGAGAGGGGCACACTGTTCTTCGGCAGCCCAAATACCTCAAGTGACACTGCTGTCACTCTTGTCAATCAGAATGGAGCACATAGAAGAGGCCTGATAACTGCTGCAAGCAGGATTCTTCTCTCTTTCTCTCCAACAGAAGTCTAATGTGGGTGGGAGGCAGACTCCCCCTCTTCCTTTCTCCCCTTGTGATGTGACATATTACATGAGCAAAGGGGTGGCTGCCTTTGAACCTGGGCAGGTGTCACACTAAGGAGGTCTGAGGTTAAGTGCACAGAGGGTGGGGTTAGCAAGTTAGCTCCCCTCTCCCTAACATATCCACTTTTCCACCCTCAAGTCCCTCTAGTTCAGTGGTTCTCAACCTTCCTAATGCCGCGACCCTTTAATACAATTCCTCATGTTGTGGTGACCCCCAACCATAAAATTATTTTCGTTGCTACTTCGTTTTGCTACTATTATGAATTGAAATGTACATATCTGATATGCAGGATGTATTTTCATTGTTACAAATTGAACATTTCTTAATGTTCTTCTCTACACGATCCATTGTCATGGGATGGTTTGCTAGTGAAAATAATATATAACAATAGCTTTAATAATACAAAAGATTATACATGGCATAGTTCAGTCAATACAGTTCATTAAAGTTTCCTATGATTTACCATTTTCTGTGTTGTTTTTTTTTTACATACCTGTTACTATCACAAGGGGGCAGTATCCACATCAACCACAGCTAAATATAAAAAGACCGATCAGCATCCAGATTAAGTTCCCATGGTACAGATATTTTTTTTTGCAGTAGCTGATGATTTTACAGTACATGATTTTACATTTACCCAGTAATTAGAATTCATGAAGTGTCGTTTTACCTCCAATACTACTGCTTTCAACACAGTAGCTGCTTTTAACAGAGTAGCTGCTTTCAACACAGTAGCTGCTCTTTACACATGTGTGACTGGTCCACATAAGTAATTTATGATGCCAACCCTGTCACATACACCTGTATTGTTTACGGGGTGTATGTGTGGTTTGGCTCGATGATGTAATCATGCCGTGTACTCGTATGTGGGCGTATCTACATGTGGGCGGACCCGCCTGGAGATGGATAGAGGAGCAGTGTCTCGGTTCCTAAGACCATCGGAAATATGTGTTTTCCGATGGTCTTAGGCGACACCTGTGAAAGGGTCGTTTGATTCCCAAAGGGGTCGTGACCCACAGGTTGAGAAACGCTGCTCTAGTTAAATGCACCCCACAGAGCCCCCATCCTCCCAGCTCCCCTCTCCCCTTCATATCACTACCAAATCAATCCTCCTTGGACTGAAACTACTGAATCAGGGGTATTTTTTCTTCCAGTGACAACACTAGCTTAGGGACATTTTTCCTTTCAATGATACCACTGATGCAGGAACATTTTTTGTGTGACACCACAGATGTTCCTAAATCTTTTCC